ATCGTGTATGACATATACTGCGTGATGCACGTTAAAAAAACCCGAGCCAACAGTTGTACTGCACTGTTTATAAATTATATTCTACAACGGGTAACAATGTCGCCCTACGAAACTCCTGCTCTCTAAAAAACTAACGACTAATACCTTTGTTACACGGGCCACTTAACTGCAGTTACGCTAAGCCACAGTTAGCGCACAATACTTGCCGACAACATTCTGTGGCTATGCAGTCAAAGCTATAGGCGAACGTGCGCTTGAGCATCAATTGAGCATCTATCGAAGCAGTGCACGCGCGCTCTTCACTTGTTATGGAATAGCTGTCCGAGAGTATATGCGGTATCTGTAATGCCGCGCAACAGCAGTTAAGCTGAGGTAACCGCGGTTAAGTGCGCCCGTGTAACTGGGGTATAATTTGGAGTGCGTCCTTACATTGCATTTTTAATGTGTGTTCGCGTGTTCGCGAACACACAGCCACCCATATTGACTTCGCCGGACCAATCGAAGGAGTTTCATATCTGATCGTCGTCGACGCGTACTCTAAGTGGCTCGAAGTCAAGCCAATGCAATCCACAACGTCTGCGCGCGTCATCGATGCTTCGCGCACTGTAATGGCAACTTTTGAAGTACCAAGGATTCTTGTCTCGGACAACGCACCGAAATTTGTTTCAAGCGAAATGAACGAGTGTTTATACAAAAACGGTATCAAACACTATACAAGTGCGTTATACCACCCGGCAACTAATGGCGGTGGTATGATGGTGGGCGAAACAAAGAAAGCTCTCTTGAAGCTTACGGAGGGAACCGTACAATGCAGGATCGCCATGTTCTTGTTCCGACAACATACGACAATCTCTTCTGCCACGGGGAAGACACCCGCCGATGCAATGTTCGGTCGACGAATTTCCACACCACTCGACCTTATAAAGCAATGGGCAACTGGAAACGAAGATCGAGAAGTTCCTACAGATGGAGTGACGGAAGATTATACTACAGGACAAACCGCCAACATAAGGTACTTTAGTGGAAGTCCTGCATGGATTCCAGCAGTAATAGTGAAACCTGCGGGGATTCGCTCATTCCAAACAAAGACAGTGGACTCAAAACTTCAGCGTCGACACGTGGATCACATTCGCCACCAACGAGAGAACACAGAACCTGTGGACGTGGAAACATCTCCGTTCATAGCGCACCCGAACGTCGAGGTCACCAACGAGGCACCAGCGGTAAAACCACTGGAAGCACAGGAAGGCCACGGAGCCTCCATGGACAACACTACGGACGTCCAGGCGGACATCGGCCCAGAAGGTCACGGAGGCTCCCTGGACGACACTACGGACGTCCAGGCGGACATCTGCCCCAGAACTAGAACTAGATGCGGACGCAATATCAAGCAGCCAGCACATTTGAAGGACTTTGTGTTGAGCATTAACCCAGAAGAAGGAAATTGATATGTACCGCTAAGCGAAGAGGAAGAGAAAGTCGGAAACGAGCTTCCATCGCGCGCTCAGGAAAAGACCATTCCCACCGACGCCATGAACAGTGGCGGACCTTCAGTTTAGACTTGTAAATAAACGCGTGTCCTATCGGGAAGAATGTATTACAGATGGTCTCTTCGGGGAGGAAATGGGAGTTCAGAGGACCAAATGCTGCCGTTAAGGCTGAACTCCATGGGACGAATTATGTGACGAATAACTGGCGAACGCCGCCCGACAGCACGCTCGCTTTGCGCGCGGCGTAGCAGCCGCTGTGTTGACTCCACGCGCAGAGCAAAAACCGACGGGCAAAATTCGTTGGTTATTCGCAGCATATTCGTCCCATGGAGTTCAGCCTTTAGTCCTTTGAGACCATCTTTTTCTTAAAGTGTAGCTGCCAGCGCACAGTAGTAGCGGTTATAGGACATAAATAAATTTTCATCTATACACTCACAGTATGGTTTCACCCTGTCTTACAGGTCTTAAAGGTATTACAGGTAAGGTGTAAGGTACTTCGGGCAGCCAGGGAAAATGCTTGGTACAAACTCTACAGACACCACGGGTTTCTTTGCAGCATGGAGGAGAACTCTGCCACCGAACTCCGCATGATATCATTTCGATATCAGTTCGCTGAGGAAATGCTTGGCACAAACATAATCACTAGGTAGTAACTTGCGATCGGCCCTTGGGATTGCACGACGCCACTGCACGAAACGAGCGTCATTCGATGCACTTTAAACAAGGACACTTGCTCTGCAGTTCTGGTACCCCGAATTGCAGTTGGGAACAAAGCACGTCTTTTCCATCCTTATAGCATAACGTCTTCTTATTCGGGTCAAGGCTCACCTTCATGCACGATGGTGGCGCCTGTGATTGACATAGCACCAAAGCAAAACACGAGGATAGCCGCTGGCGGCACACCACCACCACAGTGCACCACACCACTACCACACCACCACACGGCGAAAAAGGAGCACGCTACGCCGCCGACACTGTGGCCGCCGAGGAGGGACTTCATACCCACGGTGCACATAGCTCAGCGTCCTCTGCGGCGGCACGGAACTAACTACTCCTGGTTCGAGGCTATAGCTCCGAACACGATCGCTCGCTCCCCGCGGGGAGAGCGGCCTGAGTCATCACCTAAATGACCCGGCCCCAAGCAATTGGGGGCCACACGCTATTTGTCGAATTCTGCGATGGGGGCGAGCGCCAACTCAAAAGCCCAAACGGAGTTTGGGTTCTGCGCATGCGCAGTGGTGATCCCCTATTTATTTGGGGCCCCGGGCCCAAGCTTTGGGGCCCCCTATACTAAAACTCTCTATTGACTCTCTGCTCGCTGAAGCGCGTTGTGGTGCCGAAGGTGGCATTCACCGGCTGTCCGTTCTTTGCCCGTTCTTGCTCAATGCGAGCTTACGCTAAGGTTCCACAACGCCTCTGCAACGTGCATTGTACACCAACAAGATTTTAGTTCTCAGAAGATAAGTGGAGGCTCGTTCTCAGCCTGGGTTCATCGTGGCAAGCTCGCTTTTCGGCCGGCAAACTTACGAATGCTACATATGTTTGGTATCTGCAAAGCAGTCTGACTGATCGGAACTGTTGTTGTGGCTAGGTCAGTCGTACGTTTAGCGGTACCGCAATACAAACTTTCCGTAACACGATGGTATGCAGCTGATCACAAAGCTTCCTATCATGCTCGAGCCGGTAGCTTCGGTTTCGGCGTAGACCCCTCAAACAAAACCTGTAGATGGGATATATCTACAAAACTACACAAGACATCAAAAAACGAACCCCTCGTAATTTAGGGACTCTTCCTTCACTAGAAACCGTCGTAACCCTAAAGTCGAAAAAAATGTGCCGGAGTTACCCTTTTAGTGAGCACGTTCCGTCGCCCTAGTAATTTCCGTTGCCACCCTAACATTCTAAAAAAAAAAAAAAAAAAAAAATGAACACTACTTCCGTATTTTTTGTCGCGCTAGCAGCGTTGCGCAGTATCCTTGGCGGTTTCCAAGAGGCCTCCTCGGCTGCCATCATAGAGTGGATTGAGTTCAACCTGGGGAAGGTGTATACGCCAGGCGGATGCAATGCATCCGTACCCTGATCACGATGATAGCGGAGCATGCCATCATGACGCTCATGGATGGCACAGCGGAGCTGAAAAAAAAAAAAAACAAGTTAGTGAAGGGATCCAAGGACTTGCTGAGGAAGTTTCTGGCCCACCGAGAGAAGAGGTCCAGTACTCTGCAACCTGCAACCTGTATTCTGCAGGTTACAGATTGCAGAGTTGATTTAACATATGGTAAAAAAAAGAAGTCAATTGGTGCTGAGTTTTATTGTCTAAACACTAGGGCAACAAAGAACAAGCATGAAAGTATAAAATAATTAATTGAGTCTGTCTAATGTCACATTTTATACTCAACCTTTGCTATAATGCTCAAATCTATGGTACCGCCGCGATGGCAGCGATGTCTCCCATCATTTATCTCCATATTTACAGAGCTCGGAGAGAATGCGTAGATCTAGAATAAACAGGAGATATTCGGAATCTCCACAATCTACAGACCGTTACAAAATAACGGGATTAACTTGCACAGCCTTCCATATGTCGGTAGCTGATAATAACTTCTGTTTCTTAGTGGCCCGGCTGTGCGGCAGGGCACTAAAAATAGTTTTCAAAACGGGGAACAAAAAAATTCCCGAGTCATTGAAAAAAGTGGGGCATGAGAACATTTTTGGAGCAGTTTAGTTGTGTATTTTGACTTTGACCAGTTGTGTTCAGCCAATTTTCGCGAGTCGCTTCTGGCCACGGTCACGCTGGTAATGCATCATAAAAAAGGTCAGTCTGCATGAACCGTCTGAGGCGCGCGTTTCTTCCTTACGACAATCCTAAATCATTTATCACGCAAAAGCTGTCTGCGGACAAACATACATGTGCATGAAGGGAACGTGCTACGAACATGCGAACTTCGAACATTCCTGCAGCGAACGTCATGTCTTTTGTATGATAAGTGAGCAGTTTGACGGTATAGCTTCAGCGCGACATTCAGTCGAGCGAAAATAGCTTATGAATGTTTCATTGTCTTCAATTCATACTAAGTTGCTTTTGGAAATTGTTCAATCGATTCTTTTTCATCCTGGCATACACAGCGTTACTTTTGGATACACTCACCCTTTATAACAGAGGCTGCATTGGCCGGTAGCTTGAATCCCCTGCTAGAATATTTAGGCGCAAATGCCGCTTTCGAGATGCGAAAAAAAAAAATTCATACAATAGGATTACTTATACCCGTAATTGAAGTATGGTAGAAGAAGTGCGATTATTTATACCTTCAGAAATGGTCTAAACCTGGAGACTTAAAGAATAATTATACACCTATCATTCGACATGTAGTAAGTATAGCACTCGTAAGCCGCGGTCCGAATGAGTCGCTTTAGACCTTTGCACGTCTCTATCTGGAGATAACTCGGCCGTCGCGGTGGCGAAACTGACAAGCTCGAGTCCTTATCTCTTCCGGCTGATCGTGGGCGTACGTTTACAGAACGAGAGCAAAGAGCGGGCGAGGCGGAGGAGCCACGTCGGATCTTAATTCACGTAGTTACCGAATGGCGCCTACGTGTGCTACGCTGTCCACAAAATTGCTACCAGGCCTGGACTGGAGACCGCTGACTTTCGAAGATCCCCTTCCATCGAACTGGGTGTGCCAAGTCTGTGGACTGGTGTGCAAGAAAACAGCGGTGCTGCATTGCTCCCACACACTCTGCAATGTGTGCTTCGAGGCCAGCGTGGCGCTGGGCGGCATGTGTCCCGTGGACGGGGAGGTTTTTCACCCGGATGACGTTGGTAAGGTGAGGTTACGATCGGGACAATTGCTCCAACTAAGGGTGTCCTGTTGGAACAATGCCCACGGCTGCAGCTTCGTGGGCCCCGTCTTCGAGCTCTTGGGCCACTTTGAGAAGGAGTGCGTACACCATAATGTTTCCTGTCCTCGGTGTAACCAGGACGTGCCGCGGAGAAACCTCGTGCAGCACCTCGTAAGTGGCTGCAACCCTACCAGAAGTGCGAAACCGGCGCCGCCAGATGTGACTTACCTGGGAGGACAGTTAACTGAAGCTTTGGATAAGGCAAGTGCAGAGATCAAGCAGTCTATTGCTGAGCTCAAAGACAGCTACAGTGAGTTGCAGGCCAGTGTCAACACAGTCTCGTACCACGTCAGACGTGAACGTTCAGAAGCCAAGCAAGTAATATCTGAAGCCATTGCAAGTTACTTCAAACGGCTACAAGTCCCTCCGGCATATGTGAATTCTCCTGGAAGCCCCTTGGTGAATGAAAAGGAGTCTAAGGACGGGGATATATATTTCTGTCCGGAGGCTCAAGTTCAACTGCTAGGAGATTCAGTCAGCCCACTAAACCCGGAAGGCCGCAAGATGTACGATCGCTCCTTCCTCATAAGACTCCAGGGGGCGCCTATGTCGCTCAAAAAGCCACTTGGACTGCCCAAGGTAAACATAATTAAGGGCGAGGCAATGCTGCAAAAGCTTCCCGAAGTGCAGCCACTCCGCTATCTCCTAGTCGATCGTCCCAAAATGGGCGGCCCGTTGATACAATTGGTGGGCTTAGCGCCCACCCCGATCAATTGTTCCTGTCACTCCACGTTCGCAGCGGAGTTGCCCAGCCAAGTCCTGGAAGAGGTGGGGAGGAATGGGCTGCCTCCAGAGTGTACCGGGCCGAGGAGGAGAAAAGCTCGAAAAGGTGATCACTCCGTCGAGTTTCCTGAACCAGGACCTATGGATGCCCGTAGCCCAGAATGCATGGAAACCCATGTACAAGATACCAGGGAAAGCGGCCCCCAAAGTCGCCAAAGCTGAGGAGCTGTACCGGCGCGTGCGGGTCATCTGTGCAAACTGAACCCACGAAAGTTAGTCGCTGGTGGAGCAAGTGAAGGGCTTGCAGATCAACTCGGAAGCTCTGCTGAAGCGATTCATCGGCCTCGTGTATGAAAAGCATCTGGAAGCGCCCAACCCTAGCATGCCCTACGTCAATATGTGCATGCGTTCGCAGTTTCTGAGATCCCCACGAGCAGCAATTGCACAAATAAGGTGAACTTTGGCAGCTTGCTTCTTGCCCAAGTGCTAAAAGAAAGTCTAAGAAGGACGAGGACGAAGACACACACAAGGCCGAGCAGCTCGAGATTGAAGGGGACATTTCTGAGGAAGAGAACACTAAGCACAGAGAGGAAAGAGTAATAAAAAATGAAATCCAAACAGCGGTATCCATAAAACGATACGTTCACTGTAAAGCAGCAGAAAATGAACATGCTGACCGCAGCCATCATTTATGGCTATCTGTGACGACTGCTCTGTTCAAAAACGAGATACTGTAGGCTACAGTATCTCTGCAAGCTGTTCATTAGGATTTTCAAGAAACTGAACGTAATTTCCCCTCTAAGAAATCATAGCTGGGAGGGAGGAGAGGTGCCCCTCGCTCTCAGCTAGACCACTACTTCCGCACTATGGATAACATTCTGAAGACGCTAGAGGTGTTCCTCATTGTGATCTTCACAGTACAGGACATCGTAAATCTGCGCATAAATTCCTCATCGTGGCTTCGTGTATTATAGAGTTATTATATCCCTTGCGTATAAACTATTGTCGAAGAAAATAATAGAACAGATTTAAACAAAATAGTTATTGTACATGAACACTATGAACTACAATCTAAGAAAAAAGGTGCCCTCAAGTTACGGCGTCTTTCATCTCGTCAGTCCGAATAGCGTTTGGCCGCCATTTTGCTCTTCCTATAGCGGAATTGCGAAATGAGGTTTGGTTTTCCGGTGCTGCCACACTGCATTTGACATGTTCTGACGCCACAGGTCACCACAACTCGATTAAGATAAGTCGAAGTAGTTAGGTTTTACGACGTGTCTTCATTCTCTGTGGTACGGTGTCTGCGGCTGTGATAAAGTGTTTTCAGTACACACTAAAAATTTCAACACCCATGTTCGTGTTAAAAGGGTGTTTTTCCGAGCTCACACCCTTCCTACACCATTTTTACATGATTTTTGAATATCCAAGGGTGTACGGAAAGGCCTACACCCTTCGTACATCCTTTTTACACCCTACGGCTACCGAAATCGTGTTAAGAGGGTGTTGCGGTGGTACACCCATGATTTCCGAGTCTTCGAACTCGGAAACCGCCGAATTGCAGACATACGCGCCGACAGCAGAAGTCAAGAAGCAGCCTGCTCAATTTAGAGGATTTCGTGAAGTTCAAGTAAGCACAATGGGCAGCTGACATCCAAGCCAAGCCAACGCTCAAGTTGTTTTCAAGCCAGATGAATGCCGGCGTTGTGTACAAGCTCCTTGGTTGTTTACGTGCAAGCGACCACGAAAATAGCATCGGTTACTCAAGCACTTCTGCTGAGAATGGTGAGACCACATCGGTTCTATTATGATACATTCCGTCTCATCCTGAGATATACTAAAGCGAAGGCTAGACGTGCGAGATGGTTCGGGCTCACAGCTTTACTGTGAGCCTGTACCGTAAAGGTCGGTTCCGACACTTGCGTTTGAGTGTGTTTGTCTGCGTTGCGTTTAGAACCGAAAACAAGTCACCGGCACATCTGTGCTTCGTATGAAGCGTGGATTCCAATTCAAAGAATCATCTTGGCACGCGATATAAGCAGCAGGGATGTCCTGGTTTCTCGCAGTTGCAACGCGGTCAAACGCAACTGTTTGAACCAGGCTTTACGTGGTTGTCCTGTGCTTGTCCCTCACGCTTTATTTTTTCGATTTTAAGTATTCATTTTCAACTCGCTCGCTTTTACCAGTACTAGTAGATACTCAAGCTGCACGAGGGTTCGTGCAGTGCGACCATCTAGCGATGATATGAGCTTGTGCTCGAGCCTTGGCTTTAATGCATCTTAGTGGGGAAGGCAATCATCGGGGATATATGACACACGATGATGCCAAGTCTGTTCACGGCGGACTCTCGTGCTGTTCTGATTGGAGGAGAAGGGGCGTGTAAAAAATTGGCAAATGGAACATGGTTAGCGACAGCGCAAATATATGTTGGAAAAAGTTCAGAATATTGAAGTGCAGCAGCCTGAAACTTTGGAGTTAAGCAATTAGAGAATCATTTGAAGACATCTTTAGAGGTTCAGCCTTCTCTCCCCCCACACCAATATCGAAGGCTGCTAGGATATCGGTTCAGGCTAAGCCCTCTGTCTTTCAGTCAGTGAACTCGAGCCGTTCCACCTGACCTTGTTATTCCATAACAGATATGTTAGAAAATGGAATGCAGATTTTCTTTACACGGCCAAAACATAAAGTGTTATCAAATAATACCTGCCATATTCATATTCTACATTTACAGACCGGGGCTGCCCCGCCCGGGGGGGGGGGGGGGGGGGGGTGAAGATGCGAGCAGCCTCGAAGCCCACCAACAGTGGTTGTGTGCTGAGAGCGAAAGCTGGTGCCTGACGAAGGCCAGATTGATCTTCGAATGGATGCCACTGCCTGCAAATGGCTACATGCGTTGATATTGATGGGCATATAGACTGCACAGAATGCTTATCCCTACCTGATGGATGCTAGGAGGGTATGCATTCCATATTTTTTTGCTGATCTCTACGACAATTGCTAAATTGCGCTTCCCCGCTCCGTGATTGCGGCTGCCAAACGACCATCTTGGGACACGAAAAATTAACCTTTTGGAGCGTTGCAGAGGCTGGCCGGCAGCGTGCTGAAGACATGTTTTTTGCTCGTTTGTCGTCATTGGGAGCGTTAAAGTGGCCCTGCAATAACTTTTTGACTGGTTTTTAATTTGGACCGAACCTGAGCGCACTGAACGTAGTAATTAAAAGAAACTTTTCTTTCCTCAAATTTCGCTTTATTTTAAAAGTTATAGGCAAATTAGACTTACAAAAACAAGCAAAAAATAACATCCTTCATGACGTCGTAGGTCCTGGTTTGAGTGGCCGTGAAGTAGTGAGCTTACCGAGCGCTCACGGCTGCCGCACTCAGTGTCGACGGCTCGAGAGGGTGCCACTAAAGCACGTGTTGACTAGGCTGTATGAAGCGGGCGGCCAAGGCAGCTCGCATTGCATTTGCCGCGCGATTAAAGACTAATTCGGCATAACACTTCATTGGCCACAAACGACGGCAAACACGGGGTAAAGATCAGTTCAGAGCGGGAGCCACTTCGCGCTGCCATACCGCCAAAGGGTCAAATCGCCAGCCAAGCCCGCGCCGAAAGCCTTGGGAACGCTCGGATCCTCGAGCCGGTATACGACCGCAGCGCCACCGCGTACATCCGGGACCTTTCTAAGCCCATTGTTCGTCGGAGCCTCATCCCGCTACGCCTTTCTAGTACAGTAAAACCTCGTTATAACAAAACGGGATATAACAAACTAATGGATATAACAAAGCAATCATAATTCCCCTTGCTTGCTAATAGTGGGAAGAAATGGACATTGGCTATAACAAACTAATGGTTATAACGAAATAATTACGACCGCTCCTTCAACTTTGTTATAACGAGGTTTTACTGTATGCGCCGTTTTTTTCACCGCTTGGTGGCGGGTTTGTCGACGGGTCTTTTCTTGTTTCCGTACTTTATAAACTGCATTTGTTTCTTTTCTGATCTAAAATACTGAACAAAAACTACTTTCATACATAATTGAAACGGTTCGCGACACTCATATTTTGTATCGACTAAAAAAAAAGCTTTTAGCGGCTCTGACCAGTAGTAAGCCCAGGACCAAAGACGTTACATATTCCGCGCTTTTGGCAACGCGGGTCGCCCTCGTAGGTGGAGAGGTTTCCGCGTCGTCCGGTTAAAATATGACTCACTGATATTTAGTTATTCTCTCCGTGCCCGCTGGCTTGCCCGAACCCAAAGAGACGTGAAAACCGCAAAAGAGGTAGACGCTTAAGTATTATTGCAGCTCCCCTTTAAGTCCACACTCCTTTACTCCTACTCTGACACTCCGAGTTTCATACTCCAGGCACAGCAACTAAACGGCGCATGGCGTTCAGGAGCGCGACACACCGAATCTATTGACGAGCCGCACAAGCTCCTTCCCACCGCGCGGTTATGACGAACCTGGCATCCCGTGGATACGGGTGGGAGAAGCCAAAATTATTTCGGTACTAAATTAATTAAAGTCAGTGTAGAGCGGCAGTGTACAAAGTAAAAGAGACGGCGACGTTATGAAGTTTCTACGAACGTTTAAGTATTTCTGAGAGGTTTGGAGACCCGCTTCGAGCATGTGCGGGGAAAGGCACCTTGGCTGATCTATTTATTGACCGTGCAAGCTGTTTATATTTGAATTAAAGACAACATTCTTGAACCCGTTTGTCGACGCACGAAACCCTCACACTTGCCAGATATTTCGTGGTTCCGTATTGCAGCGAGACGGAATGCGATGGAAGCTGTTGATGTGCTATGCCGATACCGGAACACTGTCGTTCAATAGATAGCACGTCAATTCGTTTCAGGCGAGACATGAACATGATGTTTCGGCTTTCCATTCGAAGTATCTTGATTCTCTGGGCAAAGCATCCCAGAAAGGGCAGCGCTCCGACTGTCTTCTCATCTCAACAACTTTTCTGTCGCTGTGCTGTCGGTAACCTTCCGTTCAATAGATGAATTCGTTTTCAGGCGAGATGCACGAACAAACCTTTCCCGCAATGCTAACTGATGCTTCGGCTTTCCAATCTAAGTATCCTTATTCGCTGCAGCTGGACTAAGCAGTTTAAAAAGGGCAGCCGTCCCACTGTCTTCTCGGCAACTTTTCTGTCGCCGAGCTATCAGCACGCTCATTCGATAGATCACTTTGTTCTCAGGCAAGGCACATGAACAAACCTTTTCCGGAATGCTAATTGCTGTCTTGGCTTTCAAATCAAATTGTTTTTACCTGCTGGATTAACCACTAATGGACTGAAAAGGAGCAGCTGTCCGGCTACGCCTTTTGTTTCAACAATCTCAACAATAGCACAGCCATCTTGTTTGTGGACGTGACATCACGGAGCGCAAAGAAGTCACTTGTGCTCCAAGGAATGCTCGGAGCACGAAGAGCACGCTCGAGTGTCAGTCTCCGGCGGCGCTCCCCTCTGTTTAGTGAAAGGAGCGCCAAACGCTCGCAATGTGTAAAAAATGAGAATTTCCTTTGAAAACGCATGAAATATTTTTGCAACAGCGCGGCACCGCAAGAAAAAGGCACAACTTGTTGAACGTCGAGTCTCGCTGGTCTTGCGGCGTG